AGTTAAAATACCTAGATCTATTTAAACATTTAGCTTTATAGGAAATGAATTTGCGTTTTTTTTATTTACTATTTGCCATTTTCAGTAAAATTCACGAGAAATGTTTTGACTTTTAATTATTATAATAAACATAATTATTAAACGATTAGAGTAAAAATGCAACTTTAACTTACCAAACTTAGCTAAAGAAGGAACTTTTATAACATTCCCACTTGCAAATTGATACAAAAGATTCCACTTAATTACAAAAGTATTTTCATTTAGACCAGTGGTACATTCATCAATGATCAGCATCTTAAGACAGGATTTATCACGTGTAACGTCATTGTTCCACAAGTTCAAATAACTTATTTTACCAACAAATGACATATTTGGATCAAAAACACCATTCACACATTCAAGTTTTTGACCAATAGCAACAACACCACCACCATGTAATAATGGAAATGAATTATTTAACTTAGTTGTGTTATAAATTTTAAATCCATCAACAATAATTTTTTTATCCATGTGACCAATGATGATGGCCAGGTGATGCCAAAAACCGTCGTTGATTTGTGGAATGTTGAGTTTTCTGTAACGTAACGAAAAGAAGTAAGTTAGGGAAGTAGTATGATTTTCATTAATAAAAAAGCTGGATGTTATGGAACTCCCAAGTTATAGACATCTTAATCAAAACAAGCTATTTTTTCTAAATTCGTAATATTGATAGATTATAAATCAAGAAACTGGAATTTTTTCAAGCGATGAGCAAAAAAAATTTTATAATTTACATTTGTCAATTCGTTTTTCTAGAACAAAACCCTCTCTTTTAAACCGAGAATTCGATAAAAATAAGAAAAACGAAACTAAACTTAACATTAAATACTAAGTTCCCAAAATAAAGTGCATCGAAAATCTCCTTTGTAAACTACTTGATAATTAAACCAACAAAAATGTCCCGCTTGTTTAAAAACTAATGTCTATTACTATAAAAATGAATGTTGATTGATAAATGATGCAAATAAATGAATAAGTTCTTTCGCAATAACGGTGTAACTGTGTTTGGTTGTCCTGAAATATGATATTTGCAGTTAGTCTTACTAACACAATTCAAGCAGATTTTGGATTCACTAAGAAAAAAGTAAATTATTACAACTCCCCCTTACAAAATATCCTTGGACTGCATTCTGATAATAAGCCAATTCTTTTGAAAGCCAACAAAAAATTCATCAGGACTATCTTCTATAGCGTAAGAAAACAGGGCCATTCGTTGACTTGAGTTCATTTTTATCCAAAACACCAACGTTATCTCTGACATATTAGGCATCATATTATCCATTAGAATCATGTTCTCAGCATGTGCGTTGGGAAAGAGCAAATCATAACTTTTGTTAAAAGCTAAGAATGAATTGAACTTTTTTATATTTATATAAATATGAAAAAAAACATTGTGTAGCTATGTAAAAACCATCTAAACTTACACGATTGAAGTTCGCATGTTTTGTTGTACTCCTAGACAAACGAAATTAGCATTTGAAATGAAGAGAAGGGAATTTGTGTTTAAATAATAAACATCGTTGAATATTTTACATTTAAGTATAAAAATACGTATTTGATATAACTAGACAAAAAAGTTTTATCAAAACATTTATTCTTGGATTGACTTAAGTTTTCTTTTTACCTTGAAAGGGGAATTGAGAAAAATGTAATCATAAAATCGATTATGTTTCAAATCGTTTTCTTTGCTATTATTGAGGTCAGTATGTAACATTTCACAAAGACTCCAACGTCCCTGACTGAACTTTCTCCTGTGGTTTATAGATCGACAACATGGTTCCTTAGCGCAAGAAACAATGCATTCCATCTCATTTGTCACATCAATTTTTTTGAATATATTGCCTTGCAGTCTCTGATCTAGAAATGCACAATAATATTTCTAACATAATTTTGATAAAAAAGGAATTAGGTCTTGCTAAATGCAAATTTTCAATATTTTACGACAAACCCTATTTATAGCTAGTATTTTCTACATAACGTGCCTTACCTTTGTGTGAAGAATCGAAGCAAAAATTAAAACACATGATTTGGCTAAAAGATTCAAAACACCAAAAAATTGTCAAGAGCATCTTTATACAGTTTTTAAAAAACATGTTGCCTCACATAAACATTGTAGTCAAAAAAACAGCTTAGCTAAATGAATCACTAAAAACAAATTAGTTTTTGATACGATCTTTTCTTTAAGTGCTTTTTTGTAATGAAATAATTATCTCATGTTAGATATTGTTTACTCGATCATACAGTCTACTGCAAAATATATTCCCTTAGTTATCTGCTCTACTCCTAATTTAAAAAGTTATGCTGTCAAAACGTTTATTAAACCCGTAATTTTAAACTTGAATTGCAACTTGTCATTCAAAAATGCTGTTAAATAATTTTTGTGAATTTACCTAAGCTAAAATAGTGTGCTCACATTAAGCAAAAAATGTAAAAAAAGGACATCAATAATTCAACATTTATAAGTAAAACACTCAATGCTATAAACAACCGAATAAATATTGTTTGTTTTCTCTTAATAGCTAATGTTTCATTCATTTGCATTAAAATGACACTGTAGGAGAACTCTTCTTTATGCCGTAAAAATAGCATTAGACTGCTTTGCAAAGAATAATTTGAAATTAGTATGGAAATAAACAATTTTCTGCTTTACTCAAAATAATTGCCTTAATTTCAAAGGCTATATCTCAGTAAATGCAGCATTGAAAGGTTTGAAAATTGCAAAATACATGGCAAAATTGCTTCTTATAATGGAAGTTGCCTATCGTTCGAAAAGTCTTGATGGAGTTACTTTTGTGACGTCATGCAAGGCACTTGTCAATAGACGATATATATACCAAATACCTTGGATGACATGATAATTCTGCTAGAATCCGAGTTTTTGCAAAGACAGACAGGGTCCATTTAAAGGCAATTTACAACCGACAAAGCAAAAAGATGATTTGAGCAAATTAACACGATTTCTTCACGGATACGTTAAACATTACACCTTGTTCTAATATTTCAGAGAAAAGTTTTTGCTAATAAGTAGATTTTAAATAATGAATCAAACGGAGGAAACATTTTTTAGTTTGCATTTAACGTTGCAAAATAAAACACATTTCTTATCCAATGGACATCATTAACTAGTAAATTTAAATTGTCATAACAGCACGCTGTTTACATATACAAGGCGTCGAATTATGTTAAATATTAAAGTGAAATAACTCTCATTACTAAAATGACGCCAAAGCTAATGAGTTAACAAAATTATAATAAAATTATGTCTAAATGCAACACATCTGTTTCTCTTAAGTAGCTAACTTATTGCGTATGTCACTTTTTAATTCATAAATAAAACTAGAAAAGGCATTTGGTTCATCTTATTTAAGCCACTTAAAGACAACAATTTTTATGAACAATTTTTTTGTGTGCTTGAAATAAATTTGAAAAAGTATACTCAAGTGAAATTATTTTAAAAGAAAATCATAATTCTAAAGAATAATTCACCTTTACTAAACGGTTACTGTTTTTCGACTGCCTTATCCAAACACACGGGAGCTAAGCGAGAGTTAACTGAAGTGCGCAAAACATGAGCCGAAGGCGAGTATTTTGTACCGCTTTTCTTAACTCGAGCAACATTCCCAAGACTTTGGAAAAGGAATTTTAAACAATGAAAACCATTTAGTAAGTGTTTTATACAATAACAACAAGAGAAAAGTGTTAACAACAAGAGACTGTTCTTAAAAATACATCACTTTTTTTAAATGTTTTTCCATATAATAAAGAATATGTCAACAAAATTATATGTTTATATTTAAGAACCAGGAGGAATCTACTACCCTTCATATCGCAGCACAGGATTGAAATGTCGAAGTCGTTAAATTATTGCTAGAAAATGATTATTCCATGATAAACTGGGAGACTAAAAATAAACGGACAGCACTGCCGGAAGCTGCCTTACATGACAAGAAAGATGTGTTGGAATGCTTACAGGACAACAACGCGCCATTACAAATGATTTCCATTAATTGATTAACTTCTTGAATTTGGCCATTTAAAGTGGTGATGAAGAGAGCGCTATGATGCTATTTTGTTATAATAGATGGCGTGAGGTTTGAGTAATCTTACTTACCATGTGTTTTCTTCAAAGCAAAATATATTGCATACCTAAGTTCACATTGTAAAAAAAGCGTTACTTTATCAGTATATTCGTTGAACAAGAATAGCTCTTGCTTATAACGCATTTCTTTTAATAAACTTTAGTAAACTACAATTTAAGATCTTTGATTTTTGTTTTCAGATTTTGCAAAAATCGTTTCACGATCCTGAATTACAGATTGCAAAGTTGGTTTCAGAAAACATGTCAGATGTGGCTTACCAAGCTCTTTGCAACAGCATGATTTCCACTGGTGACCCAGAATATGTGATGACTATAAATTTGAATACGACTTCATATGTTTAAAAAGTAGTGCCAAAGTATGTTCACTCTGTTTTTATTCTCTTCTTCACATCGTTCTTTACTGTGCCATTCATTAAAAAGAATAACATCTTCATATAAATATGTTTTATAACTTTTATTGCACCTGCAGAGTGCAATATGAAGTCTACTAAACGTAAACCTAGCACACATGGCTGTCAAAGCAATGGTGGATAATAAAAGCTACAAATGTCTTTCTCATCCTGTCTGCTTAAAATATCTTAAAGTGCCCCTGTCAAAAAAATGAAACTCAAATATATGAATCTTTGTATACGTACATGCGTTATTTGAAAATCGAATTTCGATTCTGAATTTAGTGCAGAAATTATAGTCATTTGAACATAGAATTTTGAGAAGTAAAAATTCTAAAACCGCGCATAAGAGATTGGTACCAAATCATTCTAGTGACGTCACAGTAGGATCCGGTCAGACCTATTGATCCACGAAAACATTAGAGCGTATATTGTCGAAGTGTTCTTGTACTGTAGTTGGCGTCCCAAAAAAGTCACGCAAAATAGAAAATGCCAAATAGATGTATTGTGGCTGGTTGCTCTAATGTCTCTAATGTAAAAAAAGGAGTCTCGCTTCATTTCATACCGTTTTCCGGAGATGAAAGGCCAGAAGCCAAAATAAGACGTAAACAATGGATTGATTTCGTACGGTTGAAACGGGCAAAATGGGATCCAACACCTAATTCCAGTATTTGCTCAGCACATTTCGCAAAAGAAGATTTTTCGCAAATGTTTTCTGGTCTGTCGGCTAAAGTACCTAGATTAGCTACCGATGAGATTGGCGTCGTGGCAGTCCCTAAATATAATATTGCAGCTGAATGTCCCCCGTCAGCAAGAGCCAAGAGAAGGGTAAGTTTATTCATTCCATTTCAAGAGATTAACGCACGCTTTTAAAACATGGTAAATACAGTAAAATACACATGAACCTATTTTGAGAATCACTGTTTTGTACATAAATTTGTTGACATTTTCGAAAGGTTTTAAAGGAAGCATTGTCCACAAGTTTGTCTCGACCAGGAGAATCAGAAGAAGAGCCAGAGGATTTCGAACACTGCGTGCCAATGGAATTAAATGTGGATGAAGAGATACCAAGCGATGTTCCTTGCAGCAAAGTATATAGTATATACCTTTATTCCTGCTAGTATAGTGCGATCTTACAATTTGACTTGCCATTCGTGAGCTTTTCTGTCAAAACATATGTTGACCCCTACTGACATTATGCATACATTTTAAGAAAGACTTTTTCTTTTAGACAAACAGCGCTTTGACTCAGACAGATGGTTGTGTTGGTTGTGCGTACCTACTGAAAGAGAAAAGGAAAACATGGAACAAATATGTAGCTCTGAAAGCAAAATACGATGAATTAGTGAAAGCCAAACGTTCTAAAGGTATCGTGTTTGGCACATAAGTACTGCACACGTTTCGTGTTTTCACTGCAGGGGAAACCCGTATAATATTTCCGGCATTTATCAGCCGTGGTGCCGGTTATTATAGCTGTATTGCTAAACTCACGCAATAGAATTAAAAGAAGACATTTTATGTTAAATGATAATTTTATGAAACTTTTTTAAATTAACTTGTTCGATTTGTTTATTATTATGTAGGTGTTCAGTGCAATATACTGAATGATGAAGAGGTCATTCAGCACAGAGCTGAATCTGAAATGACGGCAGGCAACGACGTAAATGAAGAGTCTGAAGACAGCGAAGTTGAAATGGACACGGTTGCGGGCGACGATTTTAAAATAGAAGACGAGGCTGAATCGGGAAGATCGGAATTTGATGAATTAGAAGATGAATGCAGAAGGTAAAATATTTGACTTGTTTGTAAATGCTATCTAATTGTGAATCATTCTATGTCTTGAAGGCACCCGTATGACTCTATCTTCGTTTAGGAATCCTAGAGAAAACATACGGAAGGAAGAAAAATACATTGTTTTCCAATCGCAGTTGATGTTACTGTTTAAATTTTGCCATGTTTGCAAGGCAGATAACCCACTCGCAGAAATGGTAACAGATGGTACACTAGTTGTTGTCAAAACAACCTGTGGAAGCCCCGCGTGCGATGAAAGGAATAACATCTGGAAAAGTCAGCCACTTTTGCCAAACACAAAAGTAAATGCAGGAGACTTCCTTTTAAGTTTTGCCATACTTGTTTCTGGAGGATCTTCCACCAAAGTGATCAACATGTTTCGACACATGGGGCTTGCTACAATATCTAATGAGTCTTTCTATAGACACCAAGTGGTACGTTCTTTTGCATTAAAAATACTTGGACCGTTCTTTGTTCGAAGAATTTGATAGTATTTCTTATTCTTACTTAAGAAAATGGTGCTTCCGACAATCTTTCTTCACTGGAAAGACTATCAAAGAAAGATTCTTGATAGATTACAGGCTCTGGAATCAATTACCATTTCTGGTGACGCACGACATGACAGCATAGGTCATAGTGCAAAATATGGTGCTTATACAATATTTTCTTGTACTTCAGCTGAAATAATCGATGTTAGTTTGATCCAGGTATAAACAAATTTTAAAATTCAACCTCAAGCAATGTGACTATCATTCAAAGGTTATGCTAATTGTGTCTCTTCCTTAATTGTAGAGAAATGAGGTTGGAAGCAGCACAGGAATGGAATTCGAAGGTTTTCAGAGGTGTTTGAATTTTTTGTTGGATGATGGTCTGAACATTTCCACAATGGTGTCAGACACGCATCAAACCATTGCTAAATACATGAGAGAGAAACAACCAAGAATTACCCACTATTTTGACCTATGGCACTTGAAAAAAAGTAAGTTGTTGTTAAATGAATGCAAATCAAGTTTCTATCAGTATCCAATACACATATAGCATATCGACAGAATCAACCCAAAGTATTAAACAGTTTTCACATACTTTTATTACAAGAGTTACACAAGGTATTGAACAAACTTGCAAAAGAGGCAGATTGTGAAGAACTGGCCGAATGGGTAAAGCCGTGCATTAATCATTTTTATTGGAGTGCTACATCAACACATTCAGGAAATGGTATGGTTATACTTGCAAAATTCAAGTCATTCCTGAGTCATGTCATTGACAAGCATGATGGATTAGATGATCCATTGTATGATAAATGTGCTCATGGTGAACTGACTCCAAGAAAGCGGATTCTTCCTGGTATGTGTTGGTTGATATCATTGTTTACAGCTTCATCTAAATTGACCTGTCCATTTTGTTCCAAAAAACCCCTGCACTATTACTTTAGAGAAAGCTTATTTTTTACATTCACTTAGATTCTCCAGCTTACATAAAGCTAAGAGATGCAATGCTTAACCAGTCCTTTGTAAAGGGCATTAAGCAAGCTTCTCCTTTGGAGCAAACTAGTTGTTTGGAAGGATTCCACTCAACCATAAACCAGTTCTCACCAAAAATGAATGCATATTCATTTTCTGGTATATATTGCAGGTAAGTTATTATGTCAAAACAACAAATGTTGATTGTCAGTGGTTTGCTAATTTTCTAAGACACATCTACCTCATATTAGGCACATCCTAGCTGCTATTCACTTTAATGCAAAGTTGTCCCGCAAAACAAAATTAAATAAAGATGGCACACCAATGATCAAGATATCATATCCAAACTTTAAAGGGGGTGAAGCCACAGTTCGAGATATAAAAGAAAAACAAAACTTTGGTAAGTAATGTTATAGTGGCATGAATGTCAAATGTTCAAATTTTTCTAGCAAGAGTGAATTTTTTCTTTCAATGATTTCAATAAATATGACATTATAATGTTAGATTATGTTGATGAGATCTACCAGACATATGTGAGAGCATCTCAAAATGGCAGTCTTAAGATAGCTTATGAACAGCTGAATAAGATGTCACCTGCTCCCATGAACACCATGCTTGAAAAAGAGAGAAGAGAAATAGCTGTGATGAAGAGAAATGCCAGAAAAACCATTGTTGTTGAAGATATGCCTCCAACAACACCAGGTGCATAATAATAATCTAAAATTAAGTTAATCTTATCCTTCTTTTTTCTTCAATGTGTATGTAACACCAAACTCTTTCGTCATTTGGATTAATATCTTCTTGATTGACTTATCGTATAATGAAATTTTAGTTTCAGTAGTCCTTACTCAAGAAAAGGCGGCAAAGGGTGGCAAATCATCTGCCAACAGAGCAAAACCAAGGTGTTCTGTCTGCAGAAATTTAATGGCAGGACATAGCAAAATAAAGGACTGTCCCAAAAACAAGAGAGTCAGATTAGATGAAACAGAGTGACAACAGAGTTAGAACAAACGAGATTATAACAAGATCAAACAATCATATTACATAATCAAATAATCATATTACATATCAATATAGTTTTTGTTATAATTTGAAGTTAATCCCACAAACCCTAAATACAACAGTTGAAAATTTTCAAGAGATTTCCTCTTCCACAAATCCTACAAAATCGTCATTGTCAGCTGGTTGGAACTGCCGTCTTATTTTGTCATATGCACATGCCGGTAAGGGATACCTTTTATTTCCCATGTGTCCAAAAACTAACCACATAAAACTTCTATAAGACGTACTTCGAAAAAATCTACAAATTAAAAATGCAATTAATACATTGAGGTGGCCAAAAAACAGGTGGTATTTTAGTTTATATATAACTCTTTTTGAATTGTAGTGTATGATGGTATCTTAATATTTTTAGAGTTAAGAATATGAACAGAAACGAGTACAGAAACATAAATGACACATTGTCTTTCTCTCAATGTAATAATGCACTTACTTATCTTCTGTGCTTGTTTTTTCTTAGTACGTAACTTTGCAGCTGCTAGACGAAGTGACCAGGGGCGGATCTAGAGTATGTCAAATCCGTCGCGCGACTGATGTTTGAAATTCAAAAATTACCTATTCATATTACTTAAAAATTCATTAATTATTCTTACTTTATTATCGCATTTACTTCGTGATAAAAATGCAGCTTTATTTATTATTGAAAACTAATGACGAATCTAATGAATATCTCCTTGGTAACCAGATCAGTTGAATTTTAATTGACCTGGAATAACCATTGAGTTCTATAATAACTGGAGCGGCTATCTTTACTGGGGCGAGGTCGCCAAAAAAATGGCGGCCAACGGACGTATTTCCGCTGAAATGATCGCTTTGCAGAAAAATAATATTCTCCACCTCCCCCTGGTGTCTATAGTAAATTATAAAGAATTTTTCCAAAACAAACACGATATCACAGAATATGGATATCGTTAGTTCCATATTCTGTGACGATATCTTTTTTGGCATTTCTTTTATAATGCCAACACTTCAATCGTTCAATTGTTGGATGTCGTAGTTTTCAACAAAAAGGAACATATCGCTTCTCACAGGTGAGATAGTTTCTTGGTTTTTTAGTCCGTCAACGATTGAAAACTGAAAAGCAATTATACATGCACTTGAAAAGCCATAAAAATACATGTTAAAGATCGTATTTTTTAAGACTGACTTGAACGCCAAATATACTGATGTTTTCCTGTTTTTGTTTATAAAATTCTGCATACTTTTCTGTCATTTGTTAATGCATGAAGTCGTAAATTTACCCATCTATTTGCAAAATAGTTTCCCTAAAGCAAAAAAGACCCTGCACACATTTTGCTCTGTGAGTAAGTATCAAAACGAAATGATCAGCCCCAAGAGTACCCATGATTTGGAGCAGAGCTTGTTATGTTCTATTTGCTGACAACATGCAGGGAAGACCAAGGAGTAAAGATGACTGGAAGATGTTATTGACCAGACAGAGTCTTAAAAAAATGATAATGCTGTAAAGATAATTGATTTATTGTCTGCCCTATCCAGAGTTATTTAATTTGATCATGGTCAAATTCTATGGATGTGTCTATGTAAACATTTGTACTGAGATTGATGACTTGATGCAGATGTGAAGCATCAAACTGTATAAGCCATTGGGTTTTATATAACTTAATGTTTAAATCATGTCATATCTTTATCAAAATATTTTAGTTGAGTGTTGTATAAATGTTACTAATATGTAATGCACTACACTGAGGCATTAAAGATTTAGTGCTGAAACTTTTAAAGTTACTGTACTGTATATTTCTTCATTATAACAGTTTTTGCTTTAAGAAACAGTTTGAGCTTATTTACCTAGTAAAGTACAGAATGGAGATTTATCATATGCATTATTGCTACTTTTTTAAAGAAAAGTTTTTCACTTTTCAAAGCTTTCCTACAAATTTTTTGCTTCTTATTTCTTTTCATGAGATTGATGATATATGGTTAATATAATCAAATAACTTTATAATTTCTAAAAAGCTTTTAAGCTTCTAGCATAAAAGTACACAATAGGTATTTGATTCATTTGGTTATATTGCCTTGCTATGACATATCTACTTGCACTTCATCATTCTTGTATGAACAAAACACCAGATGTGGATACTCAGAGAACAAAATGCACTACCAACTGCTTATGAAATTTATTATAGAGGTGAAAACTGTGTTAATCATTCAAATTGTGTACTTATTTGCAAATATAGGAAAAACAAAACAAAGTGAAAAAGAAAGGTAGAAGTATTAAAACTACAAATGAATTATAAACACCATTGGAAGCATAAGTGTTTTGATGATTATTTGCATTTTGCCCAATTCATATATCAATACAACAAAATCAAAATGTGCTACAACTTTACAAGTATTTGATGCAGTTGCACTTCAGAACATCACAAAAAGGTTACTTAAAGTAATTTCTATACAATATTGTTTGTTTTCATTTACCAAACCTATGCAGACTTGAGTCTTTTTGAAATTTAATATGAAACTCAATTACAGAAAATCCGTAAATATCCAGAGATTTAATATTTACTTTTTTAAAGAAACAAGTAAAAATCCAACAATTGTAGCGAAAAGCCATTGCCCATTGCATCATGAAAAGCAAAATAGCAATGATAACAAATAAGCTAACTTCTCTCTCGTGAACCGTGGAGATGAACTATGATATACTTTTTGTATAGACTAAAGAGTTTAATCGATCAAACAAGTTTGACGCTGGTAAAAAAACGACGCACATCTGCATTCATACATGTGTAGCCGACATATAGCTCTTTCGTCTATAGTTATAAATGCATCCTCGTAGGAGCACATAACTGACAACCACAGTTGACTCGTTGTTATGAATTTAAGGTTTTTACCTTGATTTTCATCAAAAAATTGCTTGCCGAATCCCAAATACACACATATATTTTCCTCACTCTTTCCTCAGGAGGGAGTGGGAAATTGTGAAATTTTCGGAAAAGCGATCAATTTCGGTAAATCTCAGCGGCAACGGACGAAATCCGCCATTTTTTTGGCGTCACCAGATATCTAAGGCCGCGCTTGAGATAGCCGCTCCAGTTATTATAGAACTCAATGGGAATAACCGACTGATAAGCGGGGTGGCTTGACTGGTTCGACGGATAAAGGAGTCTATCAACGCCAAAAACGCATATTTTATTGGTCAATGGCCAGATCAGTGGACAGTCTGGAATGGTCTCGACTGATAATAAGGGTGGCCGGACGTATAAGGGAGTCCAATTGCTATCTTACAATTGGTTCATTTGAATTTTTGTTTTATTGTGATTGGTTTGACGGATTTCGACTGATAGCCAACTGAACTAACATAGTCAAGCGTAGTGTCTGGAATGCGAGATAGATCATCACATTGTGATTCACTTTAGCGTGGTTTGTAAAATCTGTTTCATTGCATTTATTTGGAAAATCGTTTACAAACTACAATGTTAAATATTGATATGTATGCTGCTGTTCAGACTGCAATTTCGCAAGAGAATGACAAATCTCTGAATGAATTGAAATTGCGTTTGAATGAGGAATATTGTGGGGCGACTAAAATGCCGAGAGCGGAATTCTTATCATTGCTTTTGAAAGGCGAAACATCATTGAGCAGAGAGTTCTCAGCAGAAATTTACATCCCCAACATCGTGCGTAAGCAACACGAGGACAATGGAAATGTATGCATGGCCTTAAGGTATCCAACCATTAATATCAATTTATGCGACTATGAGATGTGGTTTTTGTCTATTGACTGTTGTATGAATTTTAATGAAGCAGATTTCATTTTGTGCAGTGTATACTGAAGATCTACGGCTTGGGCTTTTAATTTTATTATAAATATTGGCATAAATTCAGCGAATAGTGAATTTATATTTGAACTTTGAATTATCTTCTACATGTAACTACGTAGCTTTGTTAGATATTTCCTGGCCAGTTAGTTAAATTTTTGTTGGATGACTTATAGGAACACGACTTTTTTATCCAATTTAGATCAGAAGTATCTGGCAACTGTCTCTACAGTTCAGTGTCATTGCTTTTGGCAGGTGATAACAGTTTATTGCATATTTTGAGGCAGTTAACATCACTTGAGCTGTTTTTGAATGCTACTTTTTACTGCCAACATCCTTTATTTTCCTCAATTGTTGAACAGCATAAAGAATTCAACAACACCTCAAAGAATATTTTACCTTTGACAGTATCTCAAGACTGTCTGGATTCTGGTTTTGTAGGTGTTGATCTTGTCAAAAAGGAGGCCCTTTTGAATTGTCATGACCAAAAGTGGTCATCGTTTCTATGCATTTTAGCTCTTTCTTCTGTGCTGGAGACAAAAATTTTTACCTACTACCCAGATTGTGGAGAGAGCCGGCCTAAATCAATATTCAACTCTCTCGTTTGTCCAAGAAGGATAGTTAAAGAATCAGCCGATGCAATTCATCTTTTGTTTTGTTATAAAGGGGTAGTTAAATCAGATCAATGTTTCCAACCTAATCATTTTGTTCCTCTAGTTTTTTTTCCTAGCAAAACTAAAAGGACAATTTCTGGTCCAACATGCCCAGTGCCTTCAAAAAAAGCAAAAGCAGAAAAAAAGTCTGGGAATATCAGTAAGTTTTTTTCAAAAATGGAAAAACCAGAAATCATTACAAGTGAGGTTTCTTGTACTAGGGTTTCTGAACAAACCATTGAAGATTTACAGGTAAAGCCTAAATTTAGTCACAATTTTGATGTAGCTACCTACTATGAAAGAGCAAAAGGTTTGAAAATGTCTGATATTTGTTTCCTTATTAAAAATGTTTTTAAACCAGATGAAAATTACACTTTTCCTCCTTTAAGTGAGAACAATAAAAGGTCTTTTAAATATGAATGGCTCAAAGATTTTACCTGGCTGTGTTATCCACCAAAGGAAGATGGTGCTTATTGCTTATCATGTGTTCTTTTTGGACATCAATTCCCAAGTAAATGCTCGAGAATAAGAAGCTATTTCGTTCACCTTTTCGTTATTGGAATGATGCTGTAGGTACATTTAGGCGACATGCTGGAAATTGTAAGGGGGAAAAAATAGGACTACATGCATTTACTTCTCCAATTTTGAATAATATACGATCTCAAATGTCAGGTGTAGCTCAACTGATTAAAAATATCTTAGATACTAACATAAAACTTGAAATTGAGCAAAATAGGAAAATTCTTAAACAAATTGTTGATACAGTTCTTTTTTGTGGAAGGCTTGGCATTGTATTATGAGGTCATCGTGATGATGCTCAATTTCACCCAGAGGTCGGTTGCTATTCAATGGCAATGTTGGTAATTTTGTTGAATCTTTAAATTTTAGAGTTAGAGCTGGTGATCAAACTTTGGAAAATCATTTGCTCAAATGTGGCAAGAATAAAAGTAATATTTCCAAGACCAGTCAAAACAAAATCATCAATTGTATTGGTCAGGTAATATCAGAAGATATTATAAACGAGATAAAAAAAAATAGATATTATTCTATCATTGCAGATGAAGCTCCTGATTCTTCTCACAAAGAGCAATTGTCCCTTATTCTACGGTTTGTTGAGTCTTCAATGAATGTTAAAGAAGAGTTCATGTGTTTCCTGCATTGCAAATGGGGGTTGAGTGGTCAACAACTTTCAAAGCTTATTTTAGAAACTCTAGAGAAATTTGCTTTACCCATTATGGATTGCAGGGGACAAGGTTATGATGGTGCTGGGGCTGTTTCTGGGCATATAAATGGTTTAGCAGCCCACATTTTAAGAACTAATCCTAAAGCTTTTTATACTCACTGTTACAGTCATCGACTAAATTTGTTTGTCTGTGATACTCTTTCTAACGTTGAAATTAATAACATGTTATCTGTTGTTTCTCAAGCTGCCAATTTTATCAACATATCACAGACACGCAACATACCCTTTGCTGAGCACGTTAAAAAGTCAGATGTTCAGACCAAGAAGGCAAAACTGGTAAGTCTTTGTAAAACCAGATGGGTTGAGCGAGTTGACAGTCTTGACACGTTTCAACAATTGTTTATTCCTTTAATCGACACTCTTCAGGACATGATAAACAATGTAAGTGGCGAGGTGAAGCCTTCCCTTGCTGCTGATGCTTCCCAGTTACTTTCAATAGTTACTCAATTTCATTTTATTGTTGCGCTAGTTATTACTAGAAATATTCTTGATGCTACTCTTCCAGTCACGCAATTGTTGCAGGGAAAAACTATTGATGTCATGGATGGTTTTCATTTGATAACCACTTTGAAGAATGATGTAGCCAACATGAGGAAAAGCATTAATTTTTATCATAACACTTGGTATGAAGAGGCTTTAAAACTTGCTGAAGAGGTGAACGTTCAAGAAACAAAAAAGCGAATTGCTGGAAGACAAACTATGCGATCTAATCCCCCCAGTCAATCATTCAAAGAACATTATAAACTAACCATCACTATTCCGTTATTAGACCATCTTCAAACATCTTTGAGCACTAGGTTTAACTTGGATAGTGTTAATGTGTACCGCGGATTATCTATCGTTCCCGTCAAAATGATGACTCTGTCGGACAAAGGAATTGATTGGAAAGAACAGTTTAAAAGTGTTGCAAAATTCTATCATGATGACATGATGACTTGCCCAACCCCCTTGGTTTAGATGCTGAATTAAGGCAATGGCGTTTATACTGGGAAACGCACAATGGGCCTTTGCCAGAAAACATCGTCAAAACACTGAAGCATGTAACATTTCCAGGATTTGAAAATATTAAAGTTATTCTTCGCATTTTAGGTACACTACCAATCACCTCATTTGAATGTGAGAGATCAATTTCAGCACTGAGGAATCTAAAAACCTACGAAAGGAGCACTATGGTAGAGGAACGTTTAAATGGCCTGGCTTTAATGCGAATTCACCCAGAAATTGTTCCTGACATAGAAAGAGTGATCAATAAGTTTGCTGAAGGTAATACACGTTTGAAATTTGCTTAATGTGTTATGTCTACGTTATTGTAGAAATATTACTGACTTTGCAACTGGCTGGTTAATGCGCCGTTGCTGCAGAAATGTAAGACAGTGCAACTGGCTGCTTAATGCGCCGTTGCTGCAGAAATGTAAGACAGTGCAACTGGCTGGTTAATGCGCTGTTGCTGCAGAAATGTCTTACAGCATAACTGGCTGCTGTAATGCGCCGTTTCTGCTGAAACAAAGACTGTCCATGTCCGGAATCACATTATTGCTTTGCACTATGTGTTTCCTAGGCATGCTGAAGAGCCCTGACATTGGGCGAAACGGTCTTAGCGTGTTTGTCCTCAATATTTTGTAAGAAAAAAAATGAAAAACTGCGATTTAATTCACTTTGAACATTTGTTGTAAAGCTATTCCCAAACGCTGGAAATCGCATTTCTGGGACCCTAGGCTTCAACATTTTCCAGGGGAGGATGCCCTCGGACCCCATACGGCGTTTGCCGGTTTAGGACTGACGTTTGAAAAATCCTAGATCCGCCCCTGATCATAAGCTCTTATTGAACAAAAATTTCATGTTTGAAAAGTTGCTTATTGTACAACGATTTGCTTATTGTGCTTATTCACAAGATATATTCTTAATTGTTCAATATACTTGGGTAAAGAAGTAATGCTTAAATGTCCAATCCTAAATCCTTTTAAGTTTTGCAATCTATTTTCCGCTCCAATTTACTCGTTATTCAACAACAACAAAAACAGTCCTTCTCAGGACTTTATTAACCTGGACGATCATCATTTACAAACATATTACTCGTTATTATATGTAGACGAATATTCAGGTGTACCCACAGAGGTAAAATCGTGTTATGATATGCTGATTCGCATATGAAGTAAGTGACTTGGATCGCTATTCAACCAAATGATGGATTGAATTATGGCTATTAACATGCAGGAAAATTATTATTCTATTATCATTCAAGTAAATTTTTGAAGACGACTGTTCTCTTTCTCTTTTTATTACTTTTATTTTTTTTTATTTATACTCCTCCGTTCTTCGTTAAACAAAAGTGTAATAAGAACACTCTGATATACAGGATGTCCCCTAAAAAGCTAACTCTTAACTGAAGAATTCGTTTTGGATTTATTGGCAGTTGTGTAATCTAGTCAACAAGGACAGCTTGGAATGTCTAAAGGGATGAGCCCAGGTAGCCGGGTTTCAACGAAGCATAAAATCATTTTCGCAATAGGAAAAAATTAAATGCTCCACAACAAAAAAATGATTTAAGTAATTTCTCTATGCTCTAACTTTGTAAATTTACAAAATCTATACAACGAAAGCCCTAGGGAATGCTGGAGAACGCTTGATAGACGTTTTGTTTATCTAAAAATGGTATATAACAGAACAGTGTGATACATCTGAAAGTTGAGCTGCATTAATGACGTACCACGTTCACACAAACTCAAACAAAATCTCTGTAATACGTCATTCTGCTACACTATTCGAACCAATTTTTGGCTATTGAGTCACAGCTAGTGCTTTGTTCGAGACAGACTTACACACTTTCTCTTACAGAAATTGCATGAAAATACTGAGCTGACCAAACGTAATGCGATGTGAAATTTGTACCCACATGTACACATTGAGTACCTATTTTTAGACCACTATTTTACTTGAAAATATAAAGGAGTGTATACTCATCTATTTTGTGCTATCTATACGTATATGTGTTAAGCCATTGTTTCTGCCCTTTGCATTCTATGGTGGATGAAGGATTTTTATTTTTTGGGAAGGGGGATGGGACACCCTTCGAATGTTACTTACATTTATTGCACGTTGTTTAAAAGACTGACATTTTCAGGTTATATATTATAAAGATCTAATTTTTATGAGAAATATTCGGAAGGGTGCAGTCGCCCCACTTTGCCCCAACCCAACCGCTTTTTAGCACCTCTGGTAGATAATGACATTATTGTGTGTTGGATCTAGTACGAAGAATGTCAATTAAAAATCAAAGGGTTTGAAAGAAACTTTAGGGGTACCATTGCACATGTGTCTGGAGATAATCTTGATTGCCAAGAAGTATTAGGTTTTAAGATTGGCTCTGCTTCAAATCTTAAGTGTCGTGAATGCTTGGGTATGTCTAAAGATCTAGCTACAAAGGTAAAAAGAAATACATACTGCGAAAAGCATAGGTTTTCCACAGACTTCATTTTCCACTCCATTCTTTTTCAATAACGTGGACAATTCAGAGCTGGTTAAATAAATAATTGAAGGCATTGCAAGAAGTTCGATGCAAATATTACGACTAGACTACAAAAACGACCAGCAAGTAAGTCATCATCATCATCATCATATCTTTTCGCGTTTTGTTGCGCGTGTTGTAGCAATCAGTCGAAATCAGGGACGGCACGTGAAGCCTTGCTACCTGTCCCCCACCAAATTTCCCTCACATGGCTTTGGTCAACCGGGCTAGGTTTACAGACACATTGCCAAATGTGCTACGAGCCGGGATTGAACCCGCGCCTTCTGGCTTACAGCTCACGCAATTAACCATTCAGCCACCCGCCCCACTTAGCAAGTAAGTGAAATGACTTAAAAAACAATTTTTACTATATTGACCATTGCGGCGATTGCGCGTGCGCGTCTGGCTTGCACAGTGATTCACGTGCAAAGCACATGTGTTGAGCTCGTTCCATATAAAGTGACTTTGTGAGATTTAGAAAAATGGCTTGTACATGCTCAATGTGCTTTTCGAGCTTTTCAACGCTGGCATCGTTACGAAATCATTTAAAACGGTGCCACGAATTTGAGGATAGCTTTCACGTTATTTGTCAGGCACCACGTTATGCAAGTATTTATTACACCTTCGAAGGCTACAAATCTCATTTGCGCGGAAAGCATGCAGATATATTGAATAATTTCATTGATGAGAATTCTTTTCAAATGGTCTTATCATGAAATAAATATGAGCGAAGACAATGAAGATCGCAATGGTGAGCCAGGAATAGTTTATGGCATTACTCAAGACGATGATTATGGTGATGCAAACATCGATATATGCCACAAAGAGGAGAATATCAGGAGAATGAACGCCCGGTTTCTGTTAGACACTAAAGAAATGCATAAACTATCTCAAAAATCAGTCGATACTATCGTCAGAAATACTACTTCCATCGTCCAAAATTCCTTGAATTAGTGAAATGTCGTCTGTTATCATTGCTTGAAAATGACAACATGCCAGACGTGTGCGAATTGCTGGAAAATATATTCATGGAGGAAAATGTCGTGACCAATCCTTTCCTGGGAATGGAAAGCAAATGGCAACAAGATATTTTTTTAGAGATGTTATGGGAGTGGTTGTAAGTTTTCAGTAAACTAGACCTATAAATAGAAATTCATACTTTGCATTTATATGCCATGTCAAAATTTCTTTCAAGTTTTTTTATTTGTCATTTTAAATCTTTGTTTTTCCTGAAGGAACCAAAACAAAGGGTTTTGGGAATCACCCATGTTCAGAAAAGAATTGGTGTTGGAAGAACAGTCCGAAAACAAGATGAAGTCATCGAAATTCCTCTTAAGAGCCTAGAGCAAATGCTGCAAGATCCAGCCATATTAGATCAGGTTACTTAAAAATAAATAAACTAGTGACATATACAGCATGCTGTTCTAGATGTAGCGGCTGACTGGCTTTTCTGCACAAAGTTATGTTTGTTCATAATATTTTTTCACCATTTGGGCACTCCAATGCTTCAATTTTTTAACAAACTTATTTCAAGAATATAAATGATCTATATATACTTATTTAGGTCTTGCATTCACACCAAATACAAGATGGGCTGTTATCAGATTATTGTGATGGCAATGAATTCAAAAGCCATCCCTTGTTTTCCATCGATCCGACTGCTCTTCAAATTATATTATATTATGATGAAGTAGAAATTGTCAATCCCCTGGGAAGCAAGACAGGGAAACATAAACTAGGTAAAGTACTTATAGGTCTACATCAGCCACATTTATTAATCTTTGCAGATTATATCAGATTTATTGTCTGACCTAATCCTTTCCTCCCTAATTAATTTACTATAATTTTGACATTTTGTCCAATGTGTTGCAGCAAAGTGTTGCCACAAAGTGTTGCACAAATGAGTTCATGTTCACAAAACACAAATTGCAAGTCAACTTTAAAAATATTCTAAACTAATTTGCTTGTTTTCTCTATATTTGACATAGGACTTGTTTACTACACATTGGGTAACATTTTACCATGATATCGGTTGCAGTTAAAAGCTATACAATTGATTTCAATTGCAAGGAGACCTGTTATTAACAAATATAGTATTGGTATTAATTCTAATATTGGTAGTAATATTATTAAACATGTAATGGTATTAATTCTCTGTTATGTTCATTCATTGAAGAGCTTTCTGAACTTGAAAAGGTATACCATGCGGTACCTAAAAAACTTTAAACCTGAACTGGGACAGTGATTACACATATGTATCTCATTTTTTGTTGGTAGCCGCTGCGCATGTGCGGTGAACCACAATGTTTGAGTTGAGAAGTGCCTGCACGGTGACGTCATTGCAAAATTAAGCAATCAACTTCTTCGGCAATCTTTGGAATGAATAAACAGGGAACAACATGTACACATACCTACATGTACACATTGAGTACCTATTTTTAGACCACTATTTTACTTGAAAATATAGAGGAGTGTATACTCATCTATTTTGTGCTATCTATACATATTTGTGTTAAGCCATTGTTTCTGTCCTTTGCATTCTATGGTAGATGAAAGACTTTTATTTTATTTTTTTTTTTTGGAAGGGTGGGGGGACACCCTGCAAATGTTACTTACATTTATTGCACGTTGTTAAAAAGACTGACATTTTAAGGTTATATATTATAAAGATCTAATTTTTATTTGAAATATTCGGAAGGGTGCAGTCGCCCCACTTTGCCCCAACCCAACTCCTTTTTAGCACCTTTGGTAGATAATGACATTATTGTGTGTTGGATCTAGGACAAAGAATATCCATTAAAAATCAAAGGGTTTGCAAGAAACTTTAGGGGTACCATTGCATATGTGTCTGGAGATAATCTTGGTTGCCAAGAAGTAGGTTTTAAGTTTGGCTCTGCCGCAAATCTTAAGTGTCGTGAATGCTTGGGTTTGTCTAAATATCTAGCTACAAAGGTAAAAAGAAATACTTATTGCGAAAAGCACAGGTTTTCCACAGACTTTGTTTTCCACTCCATTCTTTTTCAATAACGTGGACAATTCAGAGCTGGTTAAATCAATAAATGAAGGCATTGCAAGAAGTTCGGTGCAAATGTTAGGACTAGACTACAAAAACGACCAGCAAGTAAGTGAAATGACAAGTTGCAGGTAAGTAAAAGAATTGTTACTATATTGACCATTGCGGCGATTGCGCGTGCGCGTCTGGCTTGCACTATGATTCACGTGCAAAGCATATGTGTTGAGCTCGTTCCATATAAAGTGTCTTAGTGAGATTTAGAATAATAGAAGGTACATGCTCAATGTGCCTTTCGAGCTTTTCAACGCTGGCATTGTTACGAAATCATTTAAAACGGTGCCACGAATTTGAGGATAACTTTCACGTTATTTGTCAGGCACCACGTTTTGCAAGTATTTATTACACCTTAGAAGGCTACAAATCTCATTTGCGCAGAAAGCATGCAAACATATTGAATAATTTCATTGGTGAGAATTCTTTTCAAATGGTCTTATCATGAAATAAATATGAGCGAAGACAATGAAGGTCGCAATGATGAGCCAGGAATAGTTTATGGCATTACTCAAGACGATGATCATGGTGATGCAAACATCGATATATGCCACAAAGAGGAGAATATCAGGATGATGAACGCCCGGTTTCTGTTAGACACTAAAGAAATGCATAAACTATCTCAAAAATCATTAGATACTCTCGTCATAAATACTACTTCCATCGTCCAAAATTCCTTTGAATTAGTGAAATGTCGTGTGTCATCATCGCTTGAAAATGACGACATGCCAGACGTGTGCGAATTGCTGGAAAATGTATTCATGGAGGAAAATGTCGTGACCAATCCTTTCCTGGGAATGGAAAGCAAATGGCAACAAGATACTTTTTTAGAGATGTATGTTATGAGAGTGGTTGTAAGTTTTCAGTAAGCTAGACCTATAGATAGAAATTCATACTTTGTTTATAAAAGCATTTATCTACCATGTGAAAATTTATTTCAAGTTTTTTTAATTGTCATTTTAAATCTTTGTTTTTCCTAAAGGAACCAAAACAAAGGGTTTTGGGAATCACCCATGTTCAGAAAAGAATAAGTGTTGGAAGAAGAACAGTCCCAAAACAAGATGAAGTCATCGAAATTCCTCTTAAGAGCCTAGAGCAAATGCTGCAAGATCCAGCCATATTAGATCAGGTTACTTAAACATAAATAAACTAGTGACATATACAGCATGCTGTTCTAGATGTACCAGCTGACTGGCTTTTCTGCCCAAAGTTATGTTTGTTCATAATACTTTTTCACCATTTGGGCACTCCAATGCTTCAATTTTTAACAAAATTATTTGAACAATATAAATGATCTATATATACTTATTTAGGTCTTGCATTCACACCAAAGACAAGATGGGCTCTTATCAGATTATTGTGATGGCAATGAATTTAAAAGCCATCCCTTGTTTTCCATCGATCCGACTGCTCTTCAAATTATATTATATTATGATGAAGTAGAAATTGTCAATCCCCTGGGAAGCAAGACAGGGAAACATAAACTAGGTACAGTACTTATATGTCTACATCAGCCGCATTTATTAATCTTTGCAGATTATATCAGATTTATTGTCTGACCTAATCCTTTCCACCCTAATTAATTTACTATAATTTTGACTTTTTGTCCGATGTGTTGCAGCAAAGTGTTGCCACAAAGTGTTGCACAAATGAGTTCATGTTCACAAAACACAAATTGCAAGTCAACTTTAAAAATATTCTAAACTAATTTGCTTGTTTTCTCTATATTTGACATAGGACTTGTTTACTACACATTGGGTAACATTTTACCATGATATCGGTTGCAGTTAAAAGCAATACAACTGATTTCAATTGCAAGGAGACCTGTTATTAAGAAATATGGTATTCTCTGTGATGCTCGTTCATGGAAGAGCTTTCTGAACTTGAAAAGGTATAACGTGGGGTACCTAAAAAACTTTAAACCTGAACTGGGACAGTGATTACACATATGTCTCTCATTTTTTGTTGGTAGCTGCTGCACATGTGAAGTTAACCACAATGTGTGAGTTGAGAAGTGCATGCACGGTGACGTCATTGCAAAATTAAAGCAATCAACTTCTTCGGCAATCTTTGGAATGAATAAACAGGGCACAACCCTCATGTACACATTGAGTACCTATTTTAGACCACTGTTTTACTTGAAAGTATAGAGGAGTGTATACTCATCTATTTTGTGCTATCTATACATATTTGTGTTAAGCCATTGTTTCTGTCCTTTCCATTCTATGGTAGATGAAAGACTTTTATTTTTTTTTTTGGAAGGGTGGGGGGACACCCTGCGATTGTTACTTACATTTATTGCACGTTGTTTAAAAGACTGACATTTTCAGGTTATATATTATAAAGATCTAATTTTTATGAGAAATATTCGGAAGGTTGCAGTCGCCCCACTTTGCCCAAACCCAACCGCTTTTTAGCACCTCTGGTAGATAATAACATTATTGTGTGTTGGATCTAGGACGAAGAATATCAATTAAAAATCAAAGGGTTTGCAAGAAACTTTAGGGGTACCATCGCATTTGTGTCTGGAGATAATCTTGATTGCCAAGAAGTAGGAGGTTTTAAGATATGCTCTGCTGCAAATCTTAAGTGTCGTGAATGCTTGGGTTTGTCTAAAGATCTAGCTACAAAGGTAAAAAGAAATACTTATTGCGAAAAGCACAGGTTTTAACTGTGACTATATATTCCATGTATTGTAAATGATGTTTCCGTTGCAGATTGCAGTAACTAACAATCGACCAATCTGCAAAAGCAGCACGCTTTTTTCTAATATTCTTAAACATGTCACTATAAACTCTTCTCTAGTCAATGTTTGAAAGAGTTCTCCATCAATCTCTGCAGCTGAGAAGGTACGTACATATGTTATCGTAATTTATTTTGCAAAGCCTAGTTGCAAGTTTGTAGCGAAAAACCCACTTTCATTATCAAACAATCTTCCCAAGCTCTTGCTTCAAGCTTGAGTGTTTTTACATACGGTAAGTTTGCTATTATTATAGCCGATTTTTGTCAAAGCTTTACGAATGACTAACAAGTCAACACATCATTGCTCATCATTTCTATTAAAATATTACGTTTGTATAGCGCATGCGACCTTTGTCAAACATAGGCATTGTCAACGTATGACTGACCTTGACTACGAAAAGGGCGGTAGTTTTTACAAAATATACCAATGAAATATGCGTAGTGTTTTTATATTGTTTTTATTTATGTATTATTTTTGGGAAAATAACTATTTCCTATATCTGCGTTAAAAATATAGTTTTTTTCTTTTAGAATTGGTAATAAAAGAACTTCTTGATTATATCTCGTGAAACAGTGTATTTTTTACATCATTAACCCTCGATGGCCCATTTCTTTTTACTGTGCACTTACTGCCTTTATATAACGTAAAACTTAAATGAACTTAACAAATATATTTCAACACTGTTACACTGAAGCCTGTAGTCAAAATTTCTTTTGAATCTGGACACAACAACTTGTTGCATAGTCGTTGAACTTAGATTGACGCTGTGGTAGTAATCAAAGACACTGGATGTCAAATGACAAAGAATAATTACAACAAATTTGCAATTAGGACGCAAAATATCCTCACAGTTCAACATGCAGTAAAAGAATAGCACTTTTAGTCTATAGACTGCTGACGAACATTACATAATACAGATTAGTTATAGGTTTGAGGTCAAAGCTATCTAAGGATTTTCTAAGCATTAATGTCAAACTGCGAGAAAGCTGTAAAAATAACCTTCTAATAACAGTTTCCGTTTGAGATTTGCATATAAATGATACCTCTGCTTAATATTGGATGAAGCAGCTTTATAATTTTGCAGTATTGCTTCACAACAAAGGAATTGCTGTTTGCGGTTAGACATCTTAGCATCCCTCTTTGTCTGAAACTGCAATAGACTGGCTTGCTGCCATTTGTCGCATGGGTAACAGCTAAGACGTTACAAAATTAAAGCAATCAATTTCTTCGGCAATCTTTGGAATGAATAAACAGGGGACAACATGTACACATACCCATATTTTACCATACATTACTTGAAAGTATAGAGGAGTGTATACTCATCTATTTTGTGCTATCTATACATATTTGTGTTAAGCCATTGTTTCTGCCCTTTGCATTCTATGGTGGATGAAGGATTTTTATTTTTTGGGAAGGGGGGTGGTACACCCTGCAAATGTTACATTTATTGCGCGTTGTTTAAAAAGACTGACATTTTCAGGTTATATATTATAAAGATCTAATTTCTATGGGAAATATTCGGAAGGTTGCAGTCGCCCCACTTTGCCCAAACCCAACCGCTTTTTAGCACCTCTGGTAGATAATAACATTATTGTGTGTTCGATCTAGGACGAAGAATATCAATAAAATTCAAAGGGTTTGCAAGAAACTTTAGGGGTACCATTGCATATGTGTCTGGAGATAATCTTGATTGGCAAGAAGTAGGAGGTTTTAAGATATGCTCCGCTGCAAATCTTAAGTGTCGTGAATGCTTGGGTTTGTCTAAAGATCTAGCTACAAAGGTAAAAAGAAATACTTATTGCGAAAAGCACAGGTTTTAACTGTGACTATATATTCCATGTATTGTAAATGATGTTTCCGTTGCAGATTGCAGTAACTAACAATCATACAGGCAATGCTAATTTTTACCCTCAAGACCAGAGGGGCTTCCTACCGTGCAACCTTTGTCAAATACCTAGCATTCGTTGATACGTGTGGCGAATGGATGCCCAGCTTTATTCAATATTTTCACTTTCATATAGCTCCATGAGCAACATTTTCAACCATTAAATCCATCCATGTTTTAAACTCATCAATTGAAAGGGTGTATTTAGCTGCTGAAATTTTGTACACAAAAGAGTTTTGTGAGCATTATCGTACCTATGTTGTAAACAGAACAGTACATCCTGAAATTCAGTTTTACCCACAAAGATCATTGCAGTACTATCTCCCACTTCACTTTCTAAATCCTGTCTGTTCACATAACCAGACACATGTTTTGCCTAAATGTGATATTCACAATTACAATTAATACCAATATTTACTGATTTAAAATATGAAGTGTGCATGTTCATAGCAAATATCATCATATTGTAAAGTATTGCCTGTCAAATTGCTCAAAACTGCCATTACTTCCTCATAAAGCAAAGAATAAATTCCATTTTTAATGAAAACAGTGCATTTCTTAAGGTTCCCTAAGGGATATTTTCTTGTAAATGTGAGAAATATGATAACTTGGGTTGCAGATTTACACTTCAAGTATTTTGAACTAAGAATAGGCTTTTTGTTGAGCAGAATGATTGAAGCATATGTAACAATGTGTTTTTCTTTGTTCAGAATCAGTACAGGGGCAATATTCAGTATTGAAGCTGAGTTACAGCAAACAACAAGATTCATGAGCAAAGACTTAAATAACAAGGTGTATATATAAAAGAAATATTTTTTGTTCATTTAGAAAATATATAGCTAAGTACATCTTGAATTTATGTGAGACTTCTAAGTTCACTTACTCTTTATATTGAAAAAAAAAACAGCTAAATAATCTCAAATGGGTACAACGAAAAATCTTACAAAAATTTTTTGAGAACTAAAATATCAGATCTTTGTCATAATATGTGATTTAGTTTGTTCAAAAGCAATTGAAACTGTTAAAATGCAAAAAATACATTCGTACTAAACAATACCTGACATATTTTGTTATCTGCCGTTCACTCCTACGACAATTGAATCATTTTCAAAACCATTACAAACAAAGCAAATGGTCGTTTTCAAAAAATCTATACTTTGAATGAAAGTAGAATATTATTTTTCCTGCAATATCATAGATATCTACGGCCGTTATCATAGTGAAAACAGCAATCGAAACTCGCGTGCGTCATGAAATAGTTGGCCGCCATGTTTGTATTGAGTCACCCGATTCGATGAAGTCATCAAGTTGCTCTCGAACCAATTTGTACGGTGGCCGGTACGGGTCACCAGAAGAATAATTTAGAAAACATAACAAACAATAAGAAAACATCACTCAAATAATACTACACATTTCAAAATACTCACTACACATTCGTCCCAGTCTTACCCTGCCCCATCAATGCCCTGTTGTCCAGTTGCCAAAGTTGGAGCAACCAAAGATGTATGAATGGACATCAGTATTTCGATATCAACACCTGGAGGAACCTTTCCATCAAACCCACCCATTATGGTGATCTCTACTTGTGCCGCATTCATTCCTCTAGTGAATCTACATCCTGATATCACATGCTCTTTCTCCATTAAATACAGACGCGCTCCCTGACGTGGGACAACAACTGTGGAAGGTCCGACAAGCAGTACCAAGTCACGCATGAAGGTCCTGTTATCGATCGCTTTGACTTTAGGTTCCTTAGCTTTCCTGCGACCAACATTTGAAGGACGTTGTCCTTGAAAATTGTGCCTCCGTACAAAATTTCTGTTATTTGGATAGGTTGAATTTTGTCTCCCGGTTGCAAGCCTGGAAGACGATGTTTGTGATGTTGAAGAAGAAGTTCTTCTTCCAGTGAAAAGACGCCTGACCTCTCTTTCACCAGTTTCTTGGGGAGAAATGCGCGAAGAGAGTTCGTCCAGTCTTGTAAGGATATTTTCTACAATATTATTCGGAACGCCATTTTCTTCAGCCATTGTTTACTGAAGACCATGTTATGTTATATGGATGACACGAAGTATTTGTCATATACGTTTCTCAACCGCTGTCCAGTTTGCCAGTCAGACATCTCGACGTATGGTTGATTTTCTCAACACATGCTTGTGATTCTCAACACATGCTTATGATTCTCGACTAGTGGTTGGAATTCTCGATACACTTTTGTTATGTTTGGCGTGCCATACTACACATTTCAAAATACTCACTACACATTTCAAAATACTCACAACACATTTCAAAATACTCACTACACATTCGTCCCAGTCTTACCCTGGTTTGGCCGCCCACGGTCATCATTAGTTTCCATTTACGAAACTGACATGACATCATAAAGTAAGAATATTAAATATATAATTCCGCATTTCACAAGACAAAAAAAATGAGACATTGGGATAATAGCATGAAAATATTGGCTGAACTCTAATCAGAAATTCTTCCAGGGTTTTGCTGGATTTGGTCGGGCAACAACATTAGTAGACGATCTACATATCGCCAGCAAATATATTTGCAGTGGCTTTCGACACATGTCCGTACTTTCATAGCAAAAATTTGAGTATATGAATTTGCATTCGCTATGTCGCGTACGTACTTGTGTGATGCGTTACAAAAATAACAAGGAAACTAAAGAGGAAATTTACACACAGTGCTATAATTTGTTGCACAAGAAACGCCAAATAGAATGAAAAGTTAGGTAATTTCGAGTAAAAGCAATAAATTTAGAACTTCAATACCAGTCACGTCAATAAGTGCATTAGTTAAACTAATGATTGTCGAATATCACCAATACAAATACAATTACATGCAATCTGTAGATTGACCACTCATGTTGTGTTTTCTAACTAAGACCAAGAAATCCCTGGAAGAAATATTAATAATAGTTCATGTACGCGTTCGCATATTTTGATGCTATTGTGGCGATATGTTTGTCTATGTGCCGAATTCCACACAGACAACATATCGCCACAATAGTATCAAAATATCCTTACGCGTGCTGAACTTTTAGTAATATCGGAAGCGTATATTTATATTACCTTTCTGCCACACGTCAATTTCGTATATGTAAACTGATGACGACCGTGGGCAGGCTAGACCTGGGTAAGACTGGGACGAATGTGTAGGGAGTATTTTGAAATGTGTAACGAGTATTTTAAAATGTGTAGCGAGTATTTTGAAATGTGTGGCGAGAATTTTGAAATGTGTAGTAAGTATTTTGAAATGTGTAGTGAGTATTTTGATATGTGTAGTGAGTATTTTGAAATGTGTAGTGAGTGTTTTGTAATGTGTAGTGAGTATTTTGAAATGTGTAGCGAGTATTTTGAAATGTGTAGTGAGTATTTTGAAATGTGTAGTATGATTTTGAGTGATGTTTTCTTATTGTTTGTTATGTTTTTTAAATTATTTTTCTGGTGACCTATACCGGCCACCGTAAATTTGGCACCAGTTGTAGAGCAAAAACAACCCCCATGGAGCCAAAACGTCCCCTCTTGTCTGTTTAGCTCTCAATGTTAGCTATTATGTCTAGCAATTTCAAAAGCCAAAACGACCTCATGGTGCCAAATTGACTCGTATATTTCTATTTTGGCACCAATTGTAGAGCAAAAACAACCGTCATGGTGCCGAAGCGGCTCCTTTGTCTGTTTTAGCCCTCATCGTTAGCCAATACGGCTAGCAATTCCAAAAGCCAAAACGACCTCATTGGGCTAAAATGGCCCATTCCTTTTTACAGTTTTTAGAAAGAGGTTGATCTATTAAGTGATCACGTACGTGCCATGCCAGAAGGTTTCGACCAAACTGCAATAGCAGCACGCTTTTGTCTAAGATTCTTAAACATGTCACTAAACTCTTCTCTAGTCAACGTTGGAAAGAGTTCTCTATCAATCTTTGCAGCTGAGAAGGTACGTACATATGTTATCGTAATTTGATTTTGCTAAGCCTAGTTGCAAGTTTCGAAAAACCCACTTTCATTATCAAACAATCTTCCCAAGCTCTTGCTTCAAGCTTGAGTGTTTTTACATAAGGTAAGTTTGCTATTATTAAAGCCCATTCTTTTCAAAGCTTTCCGAATGACTAACAAGTCAACACATCATTGCTCATCATTTCTATTAAAATATTATGTTTGTATAGCGCATGCGACCTTTGCCCGACCTAGGCATTGTCAACGTCTGACTGACCTTGACTACGAAAAGGGCGGTAGGTTTTACAAAATATACCAATGAAATATGCGAAGTGTTTTTATATTGTTTTTTATCTGCGTTACAAATATAGTTTTTTTCTTTTAGAATTGGTAATAAAAGAATTTCTTGATTATATCTCGTGAAACAGAGTATTTTTTACATCATTAACCCTCGATGGCCCATTTCTTTTTACTGTGCACTTACTGGCTTTATATAACGCAAAACTTAAATGAACTTAGCAAATATATTTCAACACTGTTACACTGAAGCCTGTAGTCAAAATTTCTTTGGAATCTTGACACAACAACTTCATGTATAGTCGTTGAACTTAGATTGACGCTGTGGTAGTAATCAAAGACACTGGATGTCAAACGACAAATAATAATTACAAGAAATTTGCAATTAGGATGCAAAATATCCTCACAGTTCAACATGCAGTAAAGGAATAGCACTTTTAGTCTATAGACTGCTGACACACATTACATAATACAGATTAGTAATAGGTTTGAGGTCATATCTATCTAGGGATTTTCTAAGCATTAATGACCTTCTAATAACAATTTCCGTTTGAGATTTGCATATAAATGATACCTCTGTTTAATATTGGATGAAGCAACTTTATAATTTTGCAGTATTGCTTCATAATAAAGGAATTGCTGTTTGCAGTTAGACATCTTAGCATCCCTCTTTGTCTGAAACTGCAATAGACTGGCTTGCTGCCATTTGTCACATGGGTAACAGCTAAGACGTGACACAACACTGGAGTGCTATATTGTTAGTTGTTTTAACTGTGCAATTATGCAAATTCTATAATACAGAATTAGCAAACTGTGACACATTCCAACGTTATTACAATGTTTTGAAAGCATATGGTCTTCAAAAGCTAACATTCGAATAAAATAAGATTAGTCACTAATTTGTAAAATAACATACAGCTAATGCTTTGCATTGATATTATATACTTCTACATTTTCAGATAACTTAATTAAACTCTGTTAATGAATTTCCCATAATATTCAATTGTGTATAATTTTTCATTATAATAATATACATGAAACAGTCTTAATTCTGATTGGTTAAGAGCAGAGCAGAGCAGTGCATACTGTGAGGTGTTAAACGGTCACTATAAAACGTCAGCGATATCTTATCACAGCTCAATTCATTCGTTGTTCAATTTGGCCACTCATCAACCTCACGAAATATTGTTCCATTAAATCAATATGATGAAGTTGAGTACATGCATCGTGTTAGCAGTTCTGGTCGTAATGGTAAGCACCAACAGTATATTTTACATGAGTGACTATGGTAGTTTAAATAAATAATGCATCACATGTAGCAAATATTACGTATCGTTCAGTTTTTTTGTGACTTTATCATGATATGATGAAATACTTTATTTTGTTTGACGAAATTAGAACTCAGTAGGACAAGCCACCATAAGCCTAAAGGCATGGGCTTCTTTAAATAGTTATAATATACTTCTTCTCTTTAGTTTTTGCTGTTTGGGTCTAGGTAAATGTGCTTAATTTAAATCGTTTATGCTTTTGAAAACTGCAAGATGGCGACACTCCCAGTTTAGACTTTTAGCGTTTCCTTTGTTGTTTGCTTGTTCAGTTGCTAACACAGGCAGGAAAATGCAAAAGCAAAGAAGTGTAAGGAACGAAAAGGTCATCAATCAAGAGACCAAAATTACAATTGGAGGATTAGATACCACATAAAGGCCCGCAACTTTGTCCACGTGTCCCGTAGTTAGTAATCCGTAACTGTTTGACGAAGTACGATACAAGTGCGACTAACTTTGATTTTATGGCACTATAGTATCTTCTAGTTTGCTCGTCTTAAAGGTGCAGGAGAGATGAATTAGAATAAAATTTTAAGCTTTTATTGCTGTGATTATTGTCATGTGGAAAACATGACAAAGCTTTCGTACGATTGCATTGGAATCATATTGTTTGGCTCTTTTCTCATTGAAACATGCCTGGTCGAATGACTGAATGGTCACCAATCAATCATTCTTGAATGCAACTTTCCTTTTCATTCTTGATTCTTCTAGCAGGAGTAATTTAGATTTTTTTGTCATAAGTCATGTCTGAAGTCGGAGTAAAATCTTAAGCACGCGTCTTGCTAAATTACTACTCAGACAATTATATGCAAAAATAAGACATTCATTATAATTTTGTAGACATTACCTGCTGATGCGTGGTGGAGAAGATCAAGTAAGCAAATTTTTTTTCCCATTTAACTACCAGTATTGCGCAAAAATTGAAAAACAAAGTGTTTTTCCTATTTTGAGAAATATCTCTTGGTCAAACTGAATAAAATTTTTTCATACCAACACAGTTCCTTTATTGATATTGTGCTTTGAAGGTTAATATTTGGTGAAAGACAAACAATTCTTTGTCTCTTTTATTTGACTTGTTGCTGAATATTCTAGTTGATGCTGGTTGCTAGCACACCTCCCACGATATGTGCAAGTAATAATTCCACTATATAAAATAGACAAATTTCTTTTTTTATATACATTCTAAAGCTTGCATAAATTTAGTTTAAGCTTGAGTTTAGCGATTTACGTGTGAATTGAGTTAGCCTACTATGAATAGAATAGTTATTGCAGCAGCTTTTTTCGATTGGACTTCACAAATCTCCTGTGACTATACTGACGAAAACTTTGGTTAGTTTTACAGCTGAAATGGCCAAGTTATATAAAATTACCATTGCAAATTAAGAATGTGTAACATGTATATACTATGTAGCTACGAAAGACGTTTTTCCCATCAGAAATACTACGGCACAGGTAGCTACTCTTTTCTAACTGTAACACTGCACTTCTCTGTTATACAAAATATGTTTAAATTTAAATTGACTGTGAAACAAGTAAATATTAAGATTTATAATTTTTAAGAAATAAAAAAACAAGTAACTGAATATTTTAGATTCATTGTAACACCAGGTAACTAACACACATCATCTGTGGCTTAAATTAATAAACCTGTCTTTTAAACTATAATACCACTTGAAACTAAAAACTAGTACATTTGATTGGTTTTATGAATGTACAATTGCGTAAATCATTAATAGATTATTCTGCATAAATAGTATAATGTAGTTATTTTTCAACAAAAGCTCATTATGCGCAAATGCTTCTTTAACAAATAGATTTACGTACTCTAACACAAAAAATCATTTTTTAAAAATTATCTTAAAAATAGTATTTGGGTTTTATTTTAATCGTGATTTTCGTTCTGTGTATAGCATATTTCCGTGATAGAAATATACAATCGAGTTTTATGGGGAGGTTTTAAATTGGTATATAATTCATTTATTCAGTTTTTATAGAAAATTAGGAAAATTAGCTATGGCTTTTATTACGTTTTTTAGAACAATCATGTCTCCTGAAATAAGTTAAGTAATAAAACGAAATGAAAATGAGTTTTTTGATGTACTTGTCTTTTCAATGTATTGCCATGTTACGATGTTTCCACTCAGCAAAATTTAATATTCAACCCCCCCCCCTCTCCCAGTTTTGATCACTTGGCAACGGCCCTGGTTTAATGACTCTCAAAACCAATTCAAAGCTACTAGTGCACATAATCGCATAATATATGATTATTTTTTACCTCCAGTCTGTCATTCCGTATGCAACCAATGAATAATGTCAAATAATAATGTTTCTTCAAGAATTTTATTTTTAGTCACAATAAAAACTTCTTTAATGAATTATAGCTCTGTTCCTTTATTTTTAAATATAAATTACGTTATTCATTTTAGCCAATGTTAAACCAGGCTGCGTAAATGCAAATTGGTGGGTATCTTTCAACAAACAAGGATGGTCAACTTGTGACACCACAAACCAGTTTATCACTGGCTTTTATCGCAGCGCATTGAGTGCCAACTATGATGGACTTTACCGTCTTGAAGAAGCCAAATGCTGCAAATCTAGTCCAATATATATTGGACAGAAAAGTACTTGCCAAAATGCTAACTGGTGGGACTCTTTCAACAAGTTAGTATTTTCCCCCAGAATCAATCTTTTTACTGGTATTAATTGTCTGTTGGTTAATTTTCTCAGTTCTTGGTACTGAGAAAATGAAGGAAACGTAAGAAGTTTGGATACATTACTAGGACTATGATTTAAAATGATGAACTTTTGTGATTGTTTAGTTTAACGTAAAAAAGTGCGTACCAGTATTTACAGGTTTTTTTTCAAAGGTTGATCCAGGATAGTGCTTACTATTTTCACATTCAATTTTGATTTTTATCAAGTTTTGTACTTTAGTAGCAACCGATAGCCGAATCATTCTTAAGAGCAGCGAGAGACTTGCCGAGCGGAAATCGAATTCGTGTAATAAAAATGAATGCCCAACTTAGGGCTCTAATCAAAACTTTATGTTGGGCATTAATTTTTATTACACGAACTGAATCATTCTTAGTCTCTAAACGTGGCAACTTAAACAGCTTTTCAATTAAAATCAAGGAGCAATGTCTTGAAAGTTGTCCTTTAATTTAGTGAAAAATTTTTTTCTTACGATCTTTTGTCTGTTGGTTTTCCATGTGCTCGTAGCTAGCTACATTTTAACTTGTGTAGCAACACTTTTCTAATGAAGATTTACGTAATTAAATTGACTTATTTAAGACTGTATACATAAATGTATAAATAATATGGAAAAATAAGCAGGATAAGCTGTTTAACTCTAAATGCTGAACAACAACAAAAAACGACAAAGAAATAGTAAATGCAGTCCTCTGTGTGTCATTCAGTCCTCAAAAAAAATAAAGATACAAACTTATTTCCTTAAAAATGTATTTCAGAAAAGGATGGAATGTTTGTTCGAATGGATATTTTCTAAATGGTCTCTATCGCACAAACGGACAAAACTTACACAACCTCGAAGAGGGAAAATGTTGCAAACCAGTCAATCATCCCGACAAGTATGGTGATTGTTACCATGAAAATATCAAAAATGATTTCAACAAAAAAGGATGGACAGTGTGTAAAAAAGATGGCTACTACGTCACTGGGTTAAGACGAGATTCTGGGAATTGGCTAAAGGACATTGACAGTTTTAAATGCTGTAAAATGTGGAGTGGTAAGAATCACAAAAACTAATTCTTTTTTAATCAGGTTAAGACAAAGTCCTATCGCCTTTATAGCTACTTATCATATTTTAGAACGAAAATATATCAAAAAACTGCAATTATACAAATAGTTATTCAGAGTTTCATGATTAAGCATAAAAAATTTCTGTTGTATAAGGAACTTTACAATTAAGAAACAACACATATGTTTTAGAAAATCAACCGTTATTGGCTTCAAAAGTTCAGTACGATAAAAAATAAATTAAAAGAGAAATCTTTAATAAAACGAACCTTCGTTTCATTTAAGCCTAATTTTGGTGAGCAAGTCCTTTATACATAGCCACACACTTAAAATTCACAATTAATGAAAATCAGTTTATTATTTCCATGCTCAGTGACTTATGCAACAATTGAAAATCATAATTTCGTTGTTTTAATTTTATTAAAACATTTTGTGTGATTTCAATATATAAACGTTTTCGAATACTTGCATGCCTTTTTTGTAAAAAAATCACGATATATGGTGTTGTTTTCAATATATTGCTGTCAATTAAAATTACAAAAAATAAAGTTTTTAACTTTAACATAATCAGTGTTACCCGAAATTATATTCGCTGTTCCATTGCATATTGTCGTTTATTCAGTTTTATAGAAAATTAGTAAAATTAGCTATGGCTTTTATTGCGTTTTTTAGAACAATCATGTCTCCTGAAATAAGTTAAGCAATAAAACGAAATGAAAATGAGTTTTTTGATGTACTTGTCTTTTCAATATATCGGCATATTACGATGTTTCCACTCTGCAATTTAATATTCAACCCCCCCCCCTTCCCCCAGTTATGATCACTTGGCAACGGCCCTAGTTTAATGACGCTCAAAACCACTTCAAAGCTACTTATGCACATAATCGCATAATATATGACTATTTTTTACCTCCATTCTGTATGCAACGAATGAATATTGTCAAATAATAATGTTTCTTCAAGAATTTTATTTTTAGTCACAATAAAAACTTCTTTAATTAATTATTGCTCTGTTCCTTTATTTTTAAATATAAATTACGTTATTCATTTTAGCCAACGTTAAACCAGGCTGCGTAAATGCAAATTGGTGGGTATCTTTCAACAAACAAGGATGGTCAACTTGTGACACCACAAACCAGTTTATCACTGGCTTTTATCGCAGCGCATTGAGTGCCAACTATGATGGACTTTACCGTCTTGAAGAAGCCAAATGCTGCAAATCTAGTCCAATATATATTGGACAGAAAAGTACTTGCCAAAATGCTAACTGGTGGGACTCTTTCAACAAGTTAGTATTTTCCCCCAGAATCAATCTTTTTACTGTTATTAATTGTCTGTTGGTTAATTTTCTCAGTTCTTGGTACTGAGAAAATGAAGGAAGCGTAAGAAGTTTGGATACATTACTTGGACTATGATTTAAAATGATGAACTTTTGTGATTGTTTAGTTTAACGTAAAAAAGTGCGTACCAGTATTTACAGGTTTTTTTTCAAAGGTTGATCCAGGATAGTGCTTACTATTTTCACATTCAATTTTGATTTTTATCAAGTTTTGTACTTTATTGCTTTTGTTACCTAATTATGAACACTGATCGTATTAGTAGCAACCGATAGCCGAATCATTCTTAATAGCAGCGAGAGACTTGCCGAGCGGAAGTCGAATTCGTGTAATAAAAATGAATGCCCAACTTAGGGCTCTAATCAAAACTTTATGTTGGGCATTAATTTTTATTACACGAACTGAATCATTCTTAGTCTCTAAACGTGGCAACTTAAACAGCTTTTCAATTAAAATCAAGGAGCAATGTCTTGAAAGTTGTCCTTTAATTTAGTGAAAAATTCTTTTCTTACGATCTTTTGTCTGTTGGTTTTCCATGTGCTCGTAGCTAGCTACATTTAACTTGTGTAGCAACACTTTTCTAATGAAGATTTACGTAATTAAATTGACTTATTTAAGACTGTATACATAAATGTATAAATAATATGGAAAAATAAGCAGGATAAGCTGTTTAACTCTAAATGCTGAACAACAACAAAAAACGACAAAGAAATAGTAAATGCAGTCCTCTGTGTGTCATTCAGTCCTCAAAAAAAATAAAGATACAAACTTATTTCCTTAAAATGTATTTCAGAAAAGGATGGAATGTTTGTTCGAATGGATATTTTCTAAATGGTCTCTATCGCACAAACGGACAAAACTTACACAACCTCGAAGAGGGAAAATGTTGCAAACCAGTCAATCATCCCGACAAGTATGGTGATTGTTACCATGAAAATATCAAAAATGATTTCAACAAAAAAGGATGGACAGTGTGTAAAAAAGATGGCTACTACGTCACTGGGTTAAGACGAGATTCTGGGAATTGGCTAAAGGACATCGACAGTTTTAAATGCTGTAAAATGTGGAGTGGTAAGAATCATAAAAACTAATTCTTTTTTAATCAGGTTAAGACAAAGTCCTATCGTCTTTATAGCTACTTATCATATTTTAGAACGAAAATATATCAAAAAACTGCAATTATACAAATAGTTATTCAGAGTTTTATGATTACGCATAAAAAATTTCTGTTGTATAAGGAACTTTACAATTAAGAAACAACACATATGTTTTAGAAAATCAACCGTTATTGGCTTCAAAAGTTCAGTACGATAAAAAATAAATTAAAAGAGAAATCTTTAATAAAACGAACCTTCGTTTCATTTAAGCCTAATTTTGGTGAGCAAGTCCTTTATACATAGCCACACACTTAAAATTCACAATTAATGAAAATCAGTTTACTATTTCCATGCTCAGTGACTTATGCAACAATTGAAAATCATAATTTCGTTGTTTTAATTTTATTAAAACATTTTGTGTGATTTCAATATATAAACGTTTTCGAATACTTGCATGCCTTTTTTGTAAAAAAATCACGATATATGGTGTTGTTTTCAATATATTGCTGTCAATTAAAATTACAAAAAATAAAGTTTTTAACTTTAACATAATCAGTGTTACCCGAAATTATATTCGCCGTTCCATTGCATATTGTCGTTTATTCAGTTTTTATAGAAAATTAGTAAAATTAGCTATGGCTTTTATTGCGTTTTTTAGAACAATCATGTCTCCTGAAATAAGTTAAGCAATAAAACGAAATGAAAATGAGTTTTTTGATGTACTTGTCTTTTCAATATATCGGCATATTACGATGTTTCCACTCTGCAATTTAATATTCAACCCCCCCCCCTTCCCCCAGTTATGATCACTTGGCAACGGCCCTAGTTTAATGACGCTCAAAACCACTTCAAAGCTACTTATGCACATAATCGCATAATATATGACTATTTTTTACCTCCATTCTGTATGCAACGAATGAATATTGTCAAGTAATAATGTTTCTTCAAGAATTTTATTTTTAGTCACAATAAAAACTTCTTTAATTAATTATTGCTCTGTTCCTTTATTTTTAAATATAAATTACGTTATTCATTTTAGCCAACGTTAAACCAGGCTGCGTAAATGCAAATTGGTGGGTATCTTTCAACAAACAAGGATGGTCAACTTGTGACACCACAAACCAGTTTATCACTGGCTTTTATCGCAGCGCATTGAGTGCCAACTATGATGGACTTTACCGTCTTGAAGAAGCCAAATGCTGCAAATCTAGTCCAATATATATTGGACAGAAAAGTACTTGCCAAAATGCTAACTGGTGGGACTCTTTCAACAAGTTAGTATTTTCCCCCAGAATCAATCTTTTTACTGGTATTAATTGTCTGTTGGTTAATTTTCTCAGTTCTTGGTACTGAGAAAATGAAGGAAACGTAAGAAATTTGGATACATTACTTGGACTATGATTTAAAATGATGACTTGCCGAGCGGAAATCGAATTCGTGTAACAAAAATGAATGCCCAACTTAGGGCTATAATCAAAACTTTATGTTGGGCATTAATTTTTTACTACACGAATTGAATCATTCTTAGTCTCTAAGCGTGGCAACTTAAGCAGCTTTTCAATTAAAATCAAGGAGCAATGTCTTGAAAGTTGTCCTTTAATTTAGTAAAAAATTCTTTTCTTACGATCTTTTGTCTATTGGTTTTCCATGTGCTCGTAGCTAGCTACATTTTAACTTGTGTAGCAACACTTTTCTAATGAAGATTTACGTAATTAAATTGACTTATTTAAGACTGTATACATAAATGTATAAATAATATGGAAAAATAAGCAGGATAAGCTGTTTAACTCTAAATGCTGAACAACAACAAAAAACGACAAAAAAATAGTAAATACAGTCCTCTGTGTGTCATTCAATCCTCAAAAAAAATAAAGATACAAACTTATTTCCTTAAAAATGTATTTCAGAAAAGGATGGAGTGTTTGTTCGAATGGATATTTTCTAAATGGTCTCTATCGCACTAACGGACAAAACTTACACAACCTGGAAGAGGGAAAATGTTGCAAACCAATCAATCATCCCGACAAGTATGGTGATTGTTACCATGAAAATATCAAAAATGATTTCAACAAAAAAGGATGGACAGTGTGTAAAAAAGATGGCTACTACGTCACTGGGTTAAGACGAGATTCTGGGAATTGGCTAAAGGACATTGACAGTTTTAAATGCTGTAAAATGTGGAGTTGTAAGAATCACAAAACTAATTCTTTTTTTATCATTAAGTAAAAGTAAATGTTTCATTATCTCTGTTTGTGTAGGTTGAAGCTCTATGCCAACCACGAGGTAAATAAGCAAGTAATGATTTTATAAAAAAAGTTGTTGTTGTAGTTAGAAACTGTTATTTCAGTTATTTTGTTAACTCATTTTTCAAATAAAACTTTGATACAAAAGGAATGTGGATTTTTTAACTTTTTCATAGCACAAACTGCATGCCCATGAAGTTTTAACGCAAGATTCCCTTCATTTCTATAATCATACTTGTCTGTATAGTTTTATTGTATGATTATACATGTATATGGGCTTCACTATTATGTTCGTGAGAACAGTTGCGATAATAGTTTTTAAAATTGTGTCTTTGTTATTTGTTTAAAATCAGCTATCGCTCGTACTATTGAGAGAAAATAAGAATTTTTCACTACACATATGGCATAAAAAAGTAGAATCTAATAAACGACCAAATGTGATGTCATTGATCTATTGCTCAGAAATGGAGCTATAGTATAACAATTCAATTTTTTTTATCGATAATTACTATAAATTATTTCGTCGATTAATGCGTCAAAAAATGGGAAAGCTGAATATTCTCGCAAACCAAAAACAAACAAATCGTCGTAAACAATGTAAGAAGTGATTTCAATTTCATCAAAATTGTAAACCAAGAAACTTAGCTACTCGTTATAAAACGTTCTTGAACAGAACATATCAAATGAATGGACATATTGATCGTCACAAATAGACAAAAAGTTATTCCTTGTCGAAATTCTCCTCACCATCGTTCAATTTGCACACTATGGCCTTCTGTTGTCCTTATATATTTGAATTAAAACTGCTCGTCTTGTGTCTTCATACTAGATAAAACTCAAAAGAAAAAAAAACCCGTTTTCGGTCCATGATTCCTGATATTCTTTTAAGCGTAAGGCACTAGAACGCTGCATGTTAACGTTTCGGTAGGAGATTTCGGCCCCTTCCACGCTATCCAACTTGGGGATGTCAATAGCAAGCTTCCGCCCATAAGAGCCCGAGAACACCTGCGATAGGGTTTGCTCGGGGTACGCAGGGAGAATGCGGTCGCGACCCGAAACGTCTGGACCCCTAAGCCACTGCACACATATCGCACCCAGCTTCCACTGCTAGTTGACATATACTATACATATATTTAGCTTTATATTTATATACATAAGTTCAAAGCCTTACGATAGTTGTGGTATTATTAAAGTCACTACTGAGCATGCCCAGATGATTTCCTTGACACTTTGCGACTAATTGAGCCAATTGCCACAAATGTAGTGCGGGTACATATGGCTGTGCCATGTCTAAAAAAAGTTTGTCGAGTGGACTGCGCATGCGCTAGCGCATTGCAGATAATTTCTTTATTAATTTGTTACTAAGCATGCTATTTACTTCAAAATCGATACTAGTTAATGGAATTTGGATACAGTCGGTCGTTGCCATGACCATGTGCTTGGGCAGCTGGTCAAGTCGATTGCGCATGCGCAGAAGATTTATCTGAAAATTTGTGACTGAGTGAGCTAATCCTCGATAATCGGTACTGGTACATACAGTTAGTCGTTAAGATGAACATGAACTCGAAGAGTTGGTAGAGTTTGCTAGGCATACGCTCAGATTAATTCTCAATTAATTTGTGGCGGAACGAGCTCTGAAATTGGTGCTTGTATATGCGCTTAGCAATTCTCAATCATATATTTTTGCCACGCTTGTTGTCTTCTTAAACTTGTTTTGACAAATGCATATCAAACTCATCAACACTTTGTTACGCCACTCTATTGAGAGAATATCCCTTAGAATGATAGAGATATTTCATTTTTCTCCATAATTTTTTATCTGCATACTTTGTGCATAAACAATGATCTAATATTTATGACAGATATTATAATTTGTCGATTAAGTAGAAGAAATACTTGAAAATGAAACTTCCAGAAGTGAAACAAAATCATGCATAACAGAGGAGGAACGACCACGCCAGAATGAAGATATCTTGATGAAATTGAACGTAGTTGAAGCACGTAGCGTACGCTCGAGAGTTTGGATAAAGTATCATGGACCAGTGAAAACACAAATGAATCCATGCCTAATGACAAAGATAATAGCTATAGCGAGGACTAGATTCCAGTAAACTGGAATCCATGAATAACACCAAGTCTACTGAAGATATGTTGTAAAAAAGTATCGATGAAGCACTTATACAGTTTGGAAGCTCGTTGGCTCATGTGGTATATAGTAGTGGGAGCTGTTTTTGATGTTGCTGAAGATATGTAAAAATAACTACCTGCGTCTTTCGTTTAGGACGAGGAATCTGATTTCGAAAGGGAATGGGGAAGGAAATACTACGAGAGACTTGCAAGAAGATTCGAAATGTATTCTCCAAACTTTTAAGTACAGAAGGAGCATTGTAGGAAGAGTACTCTTAGAAATGTTAATTACAGCAAAACATAACATACTATATGGAAAAACGTAACATATAGACTGTAACAATATAAGAAATGACATGGCGTTATTTCTTATATTGAAATATTATCGACCTTATGACAAAGAGGTGATATCATGTTTTTCCTGAGGTTGGAAACAATTGAAAATGTTCAAATATCCTACTGGAATATTGGCATCCATGAGGATGCGGTGCACACTTGGGTGGCCCTTCTGTGGAAAATCACTGTTGACTGATACATCTAAGCCCACGATCAATAAAATTGTCAATCTAACCATAGATATATTAGATTTAGATTTCTGACGTATATACAAGTTATACGCATTGATATGTAAATAATACTGGATAACGCATTAATGATGATCTTAGATTTAGTAGACATAGGTTGCTGACGCATCACATTCGCGACAACATCTTATAATCCAAGAATAATCCAAGATGGCGTACTAGGATTGTATTACAACTTTAATGTTTTTCTAACATTACGCTGATTTTTTATAAATTTTCTTCTCCAATCGACCTATTTTGAAAAAATTCGTTTATTTTTCATCTTTTGCGCAAATAATGGACTCATCGTTAGAATACACGTTTTAGAGTCAAAATTTATTATTGTGGTCTGATGCTTTTGCCATCTTGCCAACATTCAATCATGATTATGCTTGTATTGCGAGTTACAATGAAAAGAATCATCAACTTTCTATATGGAATTTTCCTTGTATTAAGTTTGTAGAATGTTACAAATGCTTGACTTTAATGTACTTTCGCGATCTTTTATTAGAAGAGAAAACTCGCGATTTGCAAATTTGATGCCGTAATAAATTCGCATTCTTAAAAAAAGTTTGACCAAATATTACAGTGGAAACTGTGAACATGTACGGAATGGCACTGGTATCATGTTAAGACTCTTCAAGATGCTCTTTCCAACATTCAGATTTTTGGTTGTGACTGGAAGCAATCCACGAAGGTGTCTTCAAGTTGCATAATGTAATTTAAATAGCACGATGAAGGAGCAGTCAGCCCACCAAAGTTGAGTTCTTTATATGCCTTGAAATAGCAAAGCAAATTACGATCATTGTTTATGTTATTTGAAGTCAAAACGTTCTTACATTGGAGACAGCTGTGGATTTTGAAAGCTTTGCTTAGCAAATATCCTGAAACATAGGCAGCAGCATTTTTGAGCAATAAATTGTTGCTAATATTTTGTTCTCTGTAGTCATTTTCACCAATCAACAGTGAGTTACTTGGAGCTTTTGCATGGGTAAGTGGCATACTAAATGGTTTGGGCTTTTTTTTTTGAAAATTGTGTTAGCAGAGTGTCCATATCTTTAGAACAGTTTCCTTTGGAAGTAGTCAAAAGTGAACTAAAAAAACCTTTCGAAAAGCTATGATAAATTTTATTGGCGTGGGATTGTCAGAATTACCTCCTTGCTGGCGTATTGTTCCAAAAAAATTCTCTAGAGCATCTGTGTTTAATCTTCTGGTAAGCAAGAATGCAAAATTATGTGAGGCATGAAGATAGGTCCAGAGACAGATAATGGCCTTCATAGCTATAAGCCATCCCTTCAGTGATTTGATTCTGCCTGTGATGTTTTTACCATCTTTTACCACTTTGATTCCCTGGATAAAGGACATTGCTTCTTTGAGAAAAGCAATGTGAATATTGCTGTTGCTTATTGCACTTCTTTGTTCTTTTGCTGATTTCAGTGTGGAACTATTGACGCAATCGAAAAGCGAATCAAATTTGAAAAGCAACTCAGCTGTACCCAATGCTGATGGTGGTAATGCTCCAATTGATGAATATGTGCAAATCGATGCAGCAACGGCGTGGCTGAATATTTGTGTAGCATATTTAACTTAAAAATTAATCTGAAAATTAATGCAGCGACAGCGATGTAACGAAAATAACAATATATATATATATTAATAGAAGCAAGAGGACAATTTTATTTCCTTATAACGGAATCAATACTTTAAATTATCTAAAACATGACAAATATAAGGAACATATAGTAAAGAGCATCTGGAAGTTAGCTACAATCATACAATATAAGAATTTTCCCAACACAATATGGCATTGGCATTAAATACAATTGCACAAGTTTGCAATTTCTCAATGAACATTTATCGAGTGTTCGGGATATGACTAAATTTGTCTGAATTCTAAAGCACCAAATCCAATGTCATACGAAATATCTTTTTTAGTGTAGCCCGTCCGTTGATAAATTTCACATTGCTCTTCTTGTTTCTGATTAAAGACGTTGTTAAGCGCTTCTAAGCTTCCGTTCTCTAAAAATAAATAAATACGAATAACCTTGACCACACGGCCACGGCACAGCATTTCTCATACAGGTCTCGATTGAATTGTACACATTGGTTGTACATGAAAAAGCAGAAAAATATGTTGATTGTATGTTCCCATTTCAGCGCGATGCTGAGGGTAGGTCTTGATTGCCTTTATTAACCACAGCTTTGATTTGGTCGTCTCAGGATGAATATTTCAACTTTTCAAGTAATAACGCCAAGATTTTTGAGTTGTACATTGCTACCCTTATTTAGTGTAGCAAGTTTATCTTGCTGCCAACATGGCGGAAGTGGCGCATGCGCATTAAAATTTAGGACCGCATTTTTCGCTAAGTGGCCCTTCTGTTAGGTTATCTATTCTGAGCTATTGTTATTCTTAAGGTCGTTTAGAAGGTTGATTTCGTCTTTTGAAAATAAATGCTTTTCC